CTTGTATCTTTTGTTTTTTTAAAACTTATGGTAAATTGCTGAAACCTCCTGTGAAGTTTCTGACCATAGTTGAAACCTCTCTTGAAGTTTGGTAATTGCAATCACCTCCCCTGAACTTTCTAATATAGTTGCAAGTAGACCCCCTGTGTTAGAATACTCTAACAAGAAGGCATGGAAATGTCCAAAATACCTATGCAATATCTATGGAGGCTAGTTTCTATGAAAAAAAAAATACAAACTTTATAAACAACAGAAAAAAAAGAGAATTTAAAGTTGCAGCTTTACCTTTGAGCAATTGACATGAAGACAAATTTGGAAAATAATCAATTTTAGAAAAGAGATTGGAAGGGTTTAGACTAAATTCATATGAAGAGAAAATATGAAAAGCAAACATTTTGGTAAAAAATAACTATATGGGTATTTTGGACATTTTCATGCCTCTTTTAGAGGATTATAACAAAGGGGTCTACTTGCAACTATGTTAGAGAGTTCAAGGAGGTGATTGCAATTACCAAACTTCAGGGGATGTTTTTTTGAAAATAAGTTAACTTTATTTATAGGGAGAAAAATACATGAGGGGATGATGCACACAAAGATCAAGCACTCAAAAAGTTATACAGGTAAAAAGCTATCATTGAATAAGTAATCCCTATGAGCACCAGATTTAGCTAATCTATTGGTTTCACAGTTTAGCTCCCTTAGAACTCATCCCAAGTGTGCATTCAAGGAGGAGATGATGTCTCTCGCTTCAGCCAAGTAGTGAGCTAAGGCCCAAGGCCCGCTATTAGGATTAGTTAGCCAATTAATGGTGTTGGCAGAATCTCCTTTAATGGTGAGGTTAAATAAACTCAGGTCTCTTGCCATCCTAATGTTGGTTAAGGTTGTTGCCAAGACTTCAATCTTTGTTGAATCACCTATCCCAATTGGTCCATTGAAAGACCAAACGTAGTACCATCTCTTCTTTTAATTACATCTTCGATACCAGTTGCACTAGGATTATTGAAGGCGTCCCCATCAAAGTACAAGGTTGTCTCCCCTTCTTCAGTAACTTTAAGACTGCAGGTAGGGGTGAGCACTGTTCGGTTAAAACCGAAAAACCGAACAAAAAATTTTGGTTTTGGTTTTTCTAGTTTGGTCTTTTTGGTTCTTGGTTAAATCGGTTTGACTAATTTGGTTTTCGGTTTCAGTTTTTGGAATTAGAAATTCAATTAACCGAGTTAATCGAACTTTCTATTATTATATGTAATATATAATATATAATATGCAAGATATAGTATATAATATGTAACATATAATATATTTATATATTTATATATAATATAATAAAATTTGATTTCATAATATAATATATATTATATGTTATAATATATAATAAAGTATATATTATTAAAATTTAGTTTTAATCGAAATAACAAAAAATCAAACTGAAAATTTCAGTTTTAGTTTGATTTTATTTTTTTTAGTTCGGTTTTTAAAATTTTGGTTTATTCAATTCAGTTTTTAACCGAATAAGCTGAATGCTCACCCTTAACTGTAGGAAATGTTGGGGTGTATGTGATTAGAGTGGAGACAAAATGTAGCATTTCTTTGGAGGTCAGCTAAAGTGACATGGTGACACCTCTTAAAAACTTTGAACCGGAGGTCCACAGGAAGCACTTATAGCAGATTAGAGAAATAAGTTATTCACAGTTTTTTGTTTTATTATTAAAAACACGAAATTTCTTTCTTCCTAAATGCTCCAAAAAATAGCATGTGCAGCAGATTGCTACAAAGTTTTTCCTCTTTTCCTCAATAGTCAGAAGTTTCAAGGTGGAACGAAAGTTGGGCCAAATCAATTCCCCCCTTCTCTTAAAACCTAGTATGTGTTTGGTTCTATGGGTGTTTCTCATATAAATGTTTTATTGAAAACATCACTTTAAACATTTATTGTTTTTAGTTATTTGGTTGGGCATTTCAATTAACACCTTGCCACCCCATAAAGTAATCTTCCACTTCACCTCAACTTACAATGCTCTAGGTTAGCATTGCATTTTAAACTTGAGACTTGGGAGAAACTAGGCGGTGTTTGGCATGGCTTCTGCTATGGGTATATTTGGTTGGCCCATTGGATCTTGATATGTGGCATCGGCTAGGGGTATTATCGGCTCATAATAGTTTCCTAAGGGCATTCGAGTAATTCCTGCCCTTAGCGATTAATGAGCACTTAATGCGGGCACACGTTATGGGTGCATTTACTCCTAAGCCAATGACATGGGGTTGTGGTCATCCAACGCTTCTCCAGGTCCCCCTATGTGATCGCGATATACGGGACTATTATACATTGTGCATTACTTCTCACTTGGGCGATTCCTACTATAAACAGGACACTACAACCAGAGGTGTGCACACATATTTGAGCTATCACTTACACTCTTGTGGTGACCTTTTACTCTCTTTGAGTCATCGACTAATTTGGCTATCGGAGTCCTCGCCCTTGGGAACACTCTTGGGGCCTCTGATGTCTTTTTACTCTTAGTAGGAAGGACTTACAACCCTCGAACCCGGGAAATTACTCCGCTTCCCTTTGCTCCAAATTTGGTAGCATCAACTTCCAATTATTCGATAAACGGTGCCATGCCATCGCCAAATCAGCATTTGTCCCATCATACTATTTCGTATGCATATTTATTGATAATTTATTGTCTTGATTTACGTGTAAGACAATCGTTGGGGGAAGCTTCATTTTAATGCTTCCCTTAATGCAAAAGTGTTTATTCACTATTCCGATTATGTGGCGCCTAATGGCGTCTAGTTGTTAATAAATCCCAAAAAAACATTTGTCAACCACTTTTTTCTCAATTTTGGCGAAAAATCAAGTATGAACGTTTATTTAATAAATTAAAGCTATACCAAACACATAATAGAACTTGAAGTTTCCCCAAAGGCTCATGCACATAAATCCAAACATTTCTGTTTTTTAATATTTATTTAGTATATGTTTGGCATCAATGTTGAAGATACAACATCGTTTTTGTTGTTGTGTGGGTTGGAAGCACTGTTTTATGAGAAAACAGTATCTTTTTTTTTTGAATCGTTGCTACTAGGTAGGATGTTTTATGGAGCAACAATAACGTTTTATGTTTGGTACCAGTGCTCTAGGAAACATTTTTAGCACTGGTACCCATTATCCAATGCCACATCACTGCCACCTCACATTCTTGTTGGCAACAATAAGCTGTAGCTCTAGGAAACGCCAAATTTGGCGTTGCTCCAAGCCATGCCTTCCTGATTTCCAAGGCGTGGCTTGGAGCACCATTTTTTATAGAAAAACAGTTCCAAATAAGCGCCCATTTCCTAGAGCACTTTTTTTTTCCCGATGTGGCGCTGTTTTCTAGAGCAATGACAACGATGCCAAACCGCTTAATAAATGTTGAAACCAAATAGTGGTTTCATGGCATTTTTTCTAATAAATGTCCATAGAACCAAACATAACCTTACATGAAAATGAATGTGTTTACCATATTTATTTAGGCCTCGTTCGTTTATCGCTATGTTGGGGTGGGAAAGTTGACCAACTTTCCCATGTTCTTTTACAAATACATGTGGGGCTCATGAAAAATATAGATTCCCCCAGGTAAGTATTTTGGCTATTTACCTTGGAAAATCTTACCCACCTCAAAGGTGGATAATTTACTTTCCCATTGTGGGGTGATTTTGTTTAGTCGAAAAAACCCTTGTTAACAAGTTTAGGGCAAACATTAGCTTCTTTCCCAAACCTTTTGTTTAGGAAGAACTTCCACCGCCAGAGAGAACCCCATACCTCTACAGTTTTCAAGTTGCAAATCAATATTCTATGATTCGTGAAAGAGGCTTCCATTGAGTCCATCAGTGTAGTAAGCAAATATCTCCGCCATCCCGTAGTAAGCAAATCTCTCCGCCATCTCCACTCTTGCAGTTCATTTTCCAAATCCTATACCCTCAAAGATTGAAGAATCAATTAAGCAAACTAAAAAAGAAAATTAATTAAGAAAAGAACTTACCTATGATGAACGAAGATCTCTAATTTCCGCTCTTGGATCTACTAACCTGACGACTTTTATAATTCATCATCTCTTCTACCATATATCCTTCTCCTCCGAGCAGCAGAGATTCACTTGTTGAAGTGTCACACACCTCCATTCTTCCTAGTCCCCTCCCAAGCCTCTCTCTCTCTCTCTTTTTCTCTTCTACGCAATCAACAAAGAGAATTGGAGAGAGACAAAAGGGTAATGTTGGCAATAGTGTAAAGAATGGGTTTCTTACCCAGGAAAATTGGTGAGAAAAAGAATATGGATAAATTGAAGTGTCTGAATTACCTAGATAAATTCCAACAAAAAAAATATGGGTAAATAAACTTAATTGGATAAATTCTACATGAGAAACACTTACCGAGAAAGTGAATTTACCCATATAAATAAAATAGTAATGGGTAAAGTGACCAAGATATTTGTTGTTCGATGAAATTTTCTTATTTGTTCCAGCCGTCCAAAAAGGATCCTACGGGAGGTAAGATGTGTTTACCTTGCTGACGGGGCTGAAGAAATGGATACATTGGAAATTGATGTGAACATATATATGGTCTTTGAACGGTGGACATGGATGCCCACGTCATAATTACTTTCCAATGTGGGCCTCGTTTACGCCATATATCTTATTTAATCAAATATAAATGCATTAGGTTTTAATCGGTGATAAATTTATATTTTATATCGTTTTATTTGGCATAAATAGTATTTGAAAAGTCATTAGTCATAAACAGCCAGAACAGTTAGTACCGTCGCTTACTCAAAGCCATTTCTAAGAATTTAGCGAATCAATTAACAAAATTAACTGCTTTGTGGCTGGAAACGGTTAGCCACGTGGAGGCACGATTTGGCTCGTGCTGGATTGGAGCAGCACGTGCCGGCCACTGTCGACGCGACGTGAGAGCTAACCCAAGAAAAAAAATTGTTCCCAGATGAGTTTTTAGTTTCTAACTTCACATGGTGACAAGTCAAGGCCGGCATGAACGGAGCTTCCGAATCGGGAAAAAATGCAGAGGGAGAGAGAGAGAGAGTCTGTAATAGTAGACAATTCATCGTTACAGAGAGGGAATAACCAGACATGATCGTTAGGTATCATGTCTCCATCAAGCTCCGTGGTATAGACAAACAAAATATTAACAGTAAAATTAAAAAAAAAAAGAGGTCACAAAGAGGGGACAGAGGAGAATAAGAGAGTTATAGAGAAGGGCAGGGTGTTTGATGTTGCAGTGGTGGTGGTTTTTGCCCTTGATGGTGGGTCGTTGGAGGGTGGATGGATGGTGGCGGATCTCCCAGATGGGCACGGGAGGAGGAGATGGCAGGGCCCCTTTCTGGTGTTCGACTCGTCGATGCTCCGATCCTTCTTCTTGTTTCTTTCCACAAGGCTCTGCGCGCCGAGTTTGCCGAGCTTCATCGTCTCACGTTGTCGTCTTGGGAGATTGGTTCTCCTAGACGAGACCTGATAGTCGAACTACTCCGACGATACCGGTTTCTCGAACTCGTATACAAGTATCATTGTGCAGCAGAGGATGAGGTCAACTCCACTTTCCGTCCACACACATACACACGCTCCTTTCCCTCTTGATTTGCTAACAAAATTTTGAAACTTATGCTCAGTTGTAATCAAACTTAGATGGATAATTGCTAATTATATCTCTTGTTAGGCTGGGAAGCGTTCAAGTTAGAATTTAGGACACAGTGGAACGGATTCCTCTAAATAGTAAATTGCTGCTAGTGTGAACTAGTTAAATACTCAAACTCAACTCAACAAAGCCTTATCTCAACCGTTTGGAGTCAGCACAGTGAAGTGTTAAATGTGAACACAAAAATTTCAGTTTATCGGTCTGTTTGGAAAAGGTTCATTGTCAATTGAAGTGCCAAAGATTGGAGCATTCTACATCCACGTCAGTTAGAAGTGAAAGTTCTTAAGTAATGAAATTTGATGGTGACATGTACTTGCGTGAAAAATCCGAAAGGCAAACACTAGGAAAAGTAGAAAATGTGCAAGTAATGTTTGTAGACTATAAGTTGATTCTCAGTCTCAGCAGAGAATTAAAAAGTACTAGGATGCACTCGTAAACAAGTATATTAGTTTAAAAGAGAAAAAAAAAAAGAAAAAAAGTAGTGGAAATAATCACTAAGATATACATGTAGGGGTGTTAAAGATACCCAATTAGCCATTTATCCCTAATTGGACAAACTTATTATGTTTGTTGAAATTTTGATGTTCATTTGTATGCATATTGTATAAACTAGTTTCTAGTGCTTTCACGTGTGAAATGGTCTGCTATTTAACTTTTCATCATTCTTTAGAAGGTGATAAGACTTTCAATTGTTTCACACTATAAACATTGATAGTTCCATATATCTACCATTGTTTTGTTTGGCAGGTTATCTTTCGAGCACTGGACCTACGTGTCAGAAATGTGGTGAATACATATTCTTTTGAACATAGAAGCTTAGATAACCTTTTTGACTCTGTTTTCCACTGCTTGAATACTTTGTTGGAGGGTGATGGAACTCCTTCCAGTTCATTTCAAGAGCTTTTGTTTTGCAGTGGCACTATTCGGACATCAATTTGCCTCCATATGCTGAAAGAAGAAGAGCAGGTATGCAGATTTTCATTTATTTTATGTGATGGTTGTGGACTCTTGTTGTTTTTTCTTCTTGCAAGCATCCTCTCATGTACACCCTTTCTCTTTTATGTTTATAATAGAAGTTATCTTTTCTCAAATAAAAAAGTTAGGTGGTTCACCCTAGTTTATTGTATGATTGAAGAAAGTTTCTTTTAAAATTAGTCTTTGGTTTTTTATTTGGTTATTTCAATGAGAACATGCTGCATTAAGATGCTATTGTTTTTCCACTGTATTTTGGCATTTTTGGTCCATTTCTAATAAAATAATCTATAGTTTCAAATATCTTGGAGTTGTCTACTTCAGAAATTTTAGATATTGCATTCTGCAATTATAATGTTTAGTTAATAGTAAAGCTGCACCAGTGATTCTATTATTCATTAGTTAGTTAGTGGATTTCCATGTCAGTTGACTTGTTATGCTACTTGAATGCTAATGATCTTAAATTATGATGTAAAATACGTTGAGTTTGGGCTGATTTTAAGTTATTGGGCCCAACTTTGTTTTATTTTTATTTAAGTTATTCAGTTAGGAAGTTATTGGGCCTTAGGCCCATTAGTTTATGTTAAGTTTAAGTTGTGACTGTTCAACTACTTAAAGTAGCCGCCCTACTAAGGGTATCTTTGTACTTTTTCATTCTTTTTATTTAAGTATATAAATCAAGAGGGGTTGGTGGCCTGATCTATTCAATTCTGGCAACATCCCACTCTTTTCTCTTCTCTTTCTTTCTCTCTTGCTGAAACCTTTCAGCTTCTACTTCTTTTCTTCAAAAAGCATATATCAAAATCAATTATCAGCAACTTCTACTTGGTATCAGAGCAGGCTGAAGGTTTCTTGAGCTGCTACATCATGCAGCCCTAGATCGGATGATTGCATGGTGATATGAGAGGCTGATCGAAGGCCTCAGGTAAGCCCAGTTTTTAGATTTTTTTGTGGATCTGTTTTGCCCTATAGCTGGTTTAGGATTTTCCATCAAATTCAGGAAGAACTGGAGAATGGGGGAGAGTCTTGTTTTTGTAGGACTCTTAAATTTTGACATAGGAAGTGGCGTCCTAATTTTTTAGGGTTTCTTGGAGTTTTCTGAAGGGGTGGTTCAAGTCCCACTTGTTTTGGAGGCCTTTGGAGGGAGCGGCTGCTTCTCTCTCTTCTCCCACTCCCGTGAAGAAGGAATATTTTGTGGGAGGACCATCTAGGGTACCAGAAGGGTGTCTGTGGTGCCTGAAGGGAATTATTTCATATTTCTTCATCTTAAAGTGATTTTTAACCCTTTTTTGGGAATAATGGAGGGTCACGGAGTTGAAAACAAACCGGGGAGTGAAATGAGACAAGGGAGAGGAGGTGTCAGAGAATTTTTCGGGGCTGGGACCATCACTATAGTTAAGTTAGATGGTACAAACTATTTAGAATGGTCGCAATTTGCAAAAATGACCATTGGTGCTCGTGGGAATTTGGGGTATATCACTGGTAAGGAAGTGAAACCCGTGACTAACTGCTCTCGGTGGGTACAGGAAAATTATATGGTAATGACTTGGCTATGCAATTCTATGTTGCCCCATATAAGTAAAAACTTTTTGTGGGCAAATATAGCTAAGGAAATTTGGGATGGGGTTGCAGAAACCTATTCACAAAGTGAGAATGTTGCTAGGGCCTACCAGTTGAGAAACCAGGTTATTGCTACCAGATAGGGAGATAAACTTGTTGCTGTTTATTTTTTGGCCCTTAAAACCCTATGGCAGGAGATTGACCATCTGGAGAGAGTGGTTTGGGAAAGTAGTAAGGATGCAACTACCTACTAGAAGCTCTTAGAGAAGAATAGAGTCTTTGAATTTCTTGATGGCCTTAATCCCGAGTATGACATTGCAAGGCAACATATCCTTTCTAGGGATAGTGTTACTCTCTCTCAGGCATATGCCTTTGTATCAGGGGAAGAGAGTAGGAAGAATGTGATGATGAAGATTTCGGGTCTTGAACAGTCAACTATGGTTAGTATTGTGAAACCTAAACAGAGTGGAGACCAAGGTGGTAGTGAAATCAGGAAGGAAGATAAGGACTTGATTTGTGACTACTATAAGAAGCCTAAACACATGAGAGATACATGTTGGAAGCTTCAGCCTCACCTTGTGCCGAATAGACTCAAAAACAAGAAGGGAAATGTTAACATGGCAGTAACTGGTGACTTACCTGGACCTCCTACTACAACTATTTTGGAGTCTGTTGCAACTGCTGCAGTGAGGGCCGAACTTGAGAGATATGGGTAGTTACTTAATCAGCGAGATACAGTCATCCCTAATCCATTATCAGGTGGACAACTAGGTATAGGTGGATCTGGTGGTGGACATTCTACCTCCTTTGCTCATACAGGTAGTTCACATTGCTACTGCAAACTATGTTTCTACTACAGGTAAGGAGGGACCTCCTTGGATTATAGATTCTGGAGTCTTAGAGCATATGACCCATAGTTCCACTATTTTCTCCTCTTACCAACTCTGCTTTAGCAGAGATAGAGTTTCCATAGCTGATGGATCTCATGTTCCCATTGTTGGGAAGGGGTCTGCCGAGATAACCGATTCCATTTCTCTACTTTCTGTCCTCCATGTACCCAGATTGAGTACTAACTTGTTATCTGTTAGTAGTTTGACTAAGAACTTGAATTGATCAGTAATTTTTTCTCCTGGCCATTGTGTTTTGCAGGATCTAGTTTCAAAGAGGACGATTGGGAGTGGTCGTAAGGTGAATGGAATCTACCTTTTGGATGCACTTCCCAATCATCAGAGTCATCATGTCAGTAAGGATTTTGAGTCAGGGTTTGTGGGTTAGATTATGCTTTGGCATAATCGTTTGGGACATTTGTCTTTTCCTTCTTTGCGTTTCTTATTTCTAAAGTTATTTGAGTCTGTTAATTTGCTTAGCTTAGAGTGTGAAGGCTGTTAGCTTGGAAAACATTGTATACATTCATTTAAAGCTAGTAATAAAAGGTGTTCATCTGCTTTTGATGTTATTCATACTGATGTGTGGGGACCATACCATATTCATTCTATGGGTGGCTACCGATACTTTCTTTTATTTGTGGAGGATTTTTCTCGGTATTCTTGGATTTACTTGATGAGATCCCGTGATGAGGTACCATTCTTGGTTCGACAGTTACATCAGATGGTGCTAACACAGTTTGGGGTACGAGTGAAAGTGTTTAGATCAGACAATGCCAAGGAATATTTTGAGAAGAACCTTGCTTCGTATCTATTAGAGTATGGAGTAATTCATTAGAGCAGTTGTTCTTACACTCCATAAAAAAATGGTGTAGCAAAAAGGAAGAACAAACACATTGTTGAGATTGCGAGGAGTACGATGATAACATCTACTGTTCTGGTTCGATTTTGGGGTGATGCAGTTCTCACAGCAATCTTTTTGATTAATAGGGTTTCTTCTTGTGTTCTTGGATTTAGCACCCCATTTAGCCTCATTTTTCCTAAGGGGGAGATGTTCCACATTCCTCTTAGGGTTTTTGGTTGTGTTTGCTTTGCTCATGTTCTTGGTCCTCACCGCTCGAAGCTTGATCCAAAGGCAAAGAAGTGTGGTTTTCTTGGGTATGCAGAAAATCAGAAAGGGTACTGTTGCCATGACTCAGTCTCTGGGAGTCGGCATGTTACTATGGATGTCACCTTTTTTGAGTCAACATCTTTTTTCCTGAAGGGTTCTTCTCAAGGGGAGTGTTTTGGGGAAGGAAGTGAGTAGTCTATTCCTCTTCCGGTTCCAGTCCCTATGTCCACTCTTGTGTTTGACCCTCCTGTGTCTAATCCTCCTATGTCACCTACCTTACCACCTCCCTTGTGTCCTGTTTCTCAGTGCTACTCACGACAGCGCCTACAACTTCATAGGGAGGTTGATTCCACTGCAGAAGAACCCACATCACTTCCTACCGGTTCCTTGGAGACTCCAAATTCGGCTGACACTGACTCAGATATTTCCTCTTGCTCCCTCTGATGTTTTAATTCCTATTGATTCCACTAACCCTACTACAGATGACCTGGACCTTCCTATTGCACTCAGAAAAGGGAAGAGAAAGTGTACCGCTCATTGTATGTTACAGTATCTCTCATACAATGGACTTTTTCCTTCTTATCGAGCCTTCCTTTCTTCCCTCGACTCTGTGTTTATATCCAAGTGTGTCAGTGAGGCTTTCTCCAAACCTGAGTGGAAGACAACTATGCGGGAAGAAATTGAAGCTTTAATTAAGAACCAGACGTGGGAGATTGTGAATCTACTAGAGTGCAAGAAGACTGTTATATGCAGATGAGTTTATACAGTTAAATACAAGGCAGATGGAAGTATAGAAAGGTATAAGGCTAGACTAGTTGCAAAAGGGTACACTCAAACCTATGGCATTGATTACTTGGAGAATTTTGCACCAGTTGCAAAAATGAATTCTGTTTGGATCCTTCTCTCTCTTGCTGCTACATACTCTTGGCCCCTTCTCCAACTTGATGTAAAAAAATGCCTTTCTTAATGGGGACCTGCAAGAAGAAGTATATATGGATCTTCCTGCTGGTTTCTACAGTGATGTTGAAAAGGGGAAGGTATGCAGATTGAAGAAGTCTCTGTATGGTTTAAAGTAGTCTCCTAGAGCGTGGCTTTTGGCTATACTCATACTCAATTAGACCATACTTTGTTTGTGAAGCGGAGGGGGTCCCTGGTGTCAGTTCTGATAGTTTATGTGGATGATATTGTAGTTACAGGATATGACCCGAGTGAGATTGATAGTTTGAAGAAGAATCTGCACAGAGAATTTGAAATTAAGGATCTTGGGGAGTTGAGGTATTTCTTGGGCATTGAGGTAGCAAGATTAAAGCATGGAATTTTTATTTCTTAGAGGAAGTATGTCCTGGACCTTTTACAAGAAACATGGAAAGTTGGAACATAGGCAACTAGTACTCCTATTGATCAGAATCACAGAATTAATGCATCAGAAGGTGAGTTGGTGAAGGACATTGGGAGATATCAAAGACTAGTGGGGCGGTTGCTATATTTATGTATGACAAGACCAAACATCTCTTATGCAGTGAGTGTGGTGAGTCAATAGACTCGATACATGCATGTCCCATGAGTCCAGCATTGGGAGGTTATTGATAGGATTCTTGCTTATTTGAAGGGACACCCTGGTAGAGGCATACTATTTGCTGACCATGGACAGTTGAAACTAGAGGCTTACACAGATGCTGATTGGGCACGATGCCTAGATGACAAGAGATCTACATTAGGAGTTTGCACTCTTGTTGGAGGCAATCTAGTTTCGTGGAAAAGTAAGAAACAAACGGTTGTGGAAAGGTCAAGTGCAGAAGCTGAATATAGAGCCATGGCACATGGAGTTTTAGAGCTTCTCTAGATCCGTTCCTTGTTAGGAGAAATTGGTATTGAGGCAGAAGAACCTATGATGTTGTACTATGATAATCAGGCAACAATATACATTGCCCACAACACAGTTCAGCATGACAGGACAAAGCACATTGAAGTGGACAAACATTTCATAAGAGAAAGGGTGACTTCAGGGGAAGTTTGTCTTTCATACATTGCTTTTGATTTGCAGCTTGCTAATGTTCTTATAAAAGGTGTTGCAAAAAACAAGCTGGAGCATGATCTACGCAAGTTGGGAATGTGTGACATTTACTCCCAAGTTGAGGGGGAGTGTTGAGTTTGGCTGATTTTAAGTTATTAGACGCAGATTTGTTTTATTTTTATTTAAGTTATTCAGTTAGGAAGTTATTGGGCCTTAGGCCCATTAGTTTATGTTAAGTTTAAGTTGTGACTGTTCAACTACTTAAAGTAGCCGCCCTACTAAGGGTATCTTTGTACTTTTTCATTCTTTTTATTTAAGTATATAAATCAAGAGGGGTTGGTGGCCAGATCTATTCAATTCTGGCGACATCCCACTCTCTTCTCTTCTCTTTCTTTCTCTCTTGCTGAAACCTTTCAGCTTCTACTTCTGTTCTTCACAAAGCATATATCAAAATCAATTATCAGCAACTTCTACTAAATAGTCCTAGCCTTCTAGGTTTCCAATGATCTAAATGACCAAATACCACATAATATGGACAACCCAACACAATTCATGCCTTTTCGGAGTAGATTGCTTCACTTGCCATGGTTCATTTCCTTTTGTGATTAACACCATTCATCCTGTTTTTCTGTTGACTGTATTGAAATGATGCAGTGGTGCATCTTACTTTAACATACATTTAAATGCAGGTTTTCCCTTTGCTTATGCAATGGTTCTCTTCCAAAGAGCAGGCGTCACTTGTTTGGCAGTTCATAAGCAGCGTTCCTATAGTGTTTCTGGAGGATTTTCTGCCATGGATGATCTCCCATCCTTCTTTAAATGAACAAGAGGATGTTGTGCTTTGCATTGGAGAAATTATTCCTAAAGAAAAACTACTGCAACAGGTAGAGTGCAAATAATTTTTTTCATCATAATTTAATTAAACTATCTGATCATGAATGAATTCAATCATCTCTGTAGGTGGTGGCTTCCTGGCTTGGTAAGAAAAACCAACTTTTTGGGACCTCTGCTGCAGAGAAAACTGAAAAAGGAGCTTTGTTCTTTGATAGATTATTGAAGTTGGAGGAATTGGCAAAAGTAGATTCTACTAAAAGTATATTATACATAGAAAATTGGCATCGGAAGGCATCTGATGTCTTCCAAGATGATGTTAAACAGCATCCAGTTGATAGTCTATGCCTCTGGCATGATGCCATCAGAAATGATTTGGAAGAAATTCTTGCAGAATTACTAGAAACAAGAATTTCTAAGAATTATTCAACTTTAGTTTCAATCAGTGGCCAATTAAAGTTCCTTGCAGATGTGCTCATCTTCTACAGGTATTACTTTGGTTGTTCAAGTTCTTCATTTTTTAGACACTATGAATTTGTCAGGTGGAATATCTTCTTCATTAGTTAATTAATTGTTTCCTATTGTTGTCCTTTTGAATCATATCCTTATGTTCTATTACTCTATTTACAGTAATGCTTTGGAGAGAGTCTTCTTTCCAGTGTTAAATAAGCTGTTGGACAGTCCTTTGTCTTTCTCTCATCAACGATTCCCAGATGAAAGTCAAATTGAAGATCTTTTAGGATTGCTGCAAAGCTTTAATGCTCGAGATGAAACATCTTTGCCCAAGCTTGTGGAGAAGCTTTGCTGGCAATTGGAATCTTTCCTGTTGGAGATTAGAAAACACTTAACTTTTCAAGAAACAGAGGTACGTGCCATTTTTGTGTGCATGGATGTTTTAATGCAATTCTAATATAGTAATAAGGGTAAGAGAATAAACTGTGCACAGGGGCATACTTCCAATGTTGTAAGGAAATTAGTGATTAAATGTACTTGTAACCACTTTTTAATTCTACCAAATTAAGTACTTTATAATAGGGGTGCAAATTGGGTGCGATCAGGTTGGGCTTTTGTCAAAATTTGAATGGGCCCAGCTAGAAGGTCTGAGCTCGAAGCAGTGTAAAATTCTTAACTCAGGCCAACCCGAGTTGCACCATAATTTCATGTATCATTTATGTTTACCTTGGTTTCTGGTTCTTTCCAGGTTTTCCCTATTACCCGTGAGAATTGCAACCATGAAATGCAGCAATGGATGCTATACACAAGCCTTCGTATGATGCCACTTGGATTATTAAAATGTGTAATAACTTGGCTGTCATCACATTTGACTGGGGATGAGTTGAAAGCAGTTCTTCATAACATAAAGCTGGCAGGTCTGATTTTGAACTAGTTGAATTAGCAGGAGATTTAATGCCATATTTTCATCTTACTGTCATTAAACAAGGTTTTCCATTTTGTTTCCCTTTTCCACGTACACAGGATCTCCTGCTGATAAGACTTTTGTGTCCCTCTTGCATGAGTGGGTCCGTATTGGGTATTCAGGTAAAACCTCTGTTGAGATATTCCAGGAAGAGTTGCAGGAAATGTTAAAAAATAGAAGTTCTTTCCTATCCAAAAAAATTGAGGTTACCAGGCTCACTTCTTCGTATTTGGATATGCTAGCTTGCAAAAAATCCCACCCTGGGCAGATTATTAAAGCAAGCTCTTCTGATAAGACTGCGATAAGTGCATATCTTAACTCCCAGACTTCTGATGAAAAGTACAGCATGTCGTACTCTACTGGACTAAATCTACAGATTTTTTTCCCTAGAGCTTTAAATAAATTATTTTCCCGCTGCAAATTTCCTGCTGAGTTGAGCGGAGCAGGTTCCAGCCTAAATCATGAACCCAAACCAATTGAACACATCTTTCTTTTTCATAAGGCTTTAAAAAATGATCTAGAATACCTTGTTAGTGGATCTGCTAAGATAATTGAAAATATTGGGTTTCTTGTGGAATTCCGTCAGCGTTTTCATCTTGTAAAGTTTTTGCATCAAATTCACAGTGCTGCTGAAGATGAAATTGCATTCCCAGCTTTGGAGGCCAAGCAAGCACTTGAAAATATTAGTCACTCGTACACTATTGACCACAGATTGGAAGAGGAGAATTTCAATAATATATCCATCATTTTGGATGAGATATTCGAATTTCATTTTTCACTTCCTTCTGCAATGCCTAATGCAGTGGATGTTTCTTTACTTGATCAGAGAATGGTTAAGTACCACCAACTGTGTATGAAGCTCCATGGTATGTGTAAATCAATGAATAAAACACTAGGGGAGCATATCCATCGTGAAGAAATTGAACTTTGGCCATTATTTACAGAACATTTTTCCATTGAGGAGCAATTAAAGATTGTAGGTTGCATGCTTGGAATGACCAGAGCAGAAAGTTTGCAGGAGATGATACCCTGGCTAATGGCATCCTTAACACCAGAAGAACAACATGCTATGATGTCTTTGTGGCATAATGCTACCAAAAATACAATGTTTAGTGATTGGTTAGGGGAATGGTGGGAAGGTGTGAATAGATATGGTATAGCCAATGTTGTGGAGGAGTCAAATAACTCTCCTTCTGGCACAGAAGATCCACTGGAGGTTATTGCAACATATCTGTCTAAAGAATTTTTTGATGAGCCTAATGGAGGGAACCATCATGGTGAAGGATTGAAGGTTCCACAGGAAGATCCTGGTGCTGCTAATTTTGAACCTTCTGGAACTGACAAAGGAGGTGATAAAAGAAAATTTCAGAAAGGAGACCTGGATGAACATCAATTTCCAGAAGGCATAAAGCTTTGTAGGGAGGATAGGAAGCAACAATACAATGTTGCATGTCAGAGTGAGAAATCAAATCATATTTTACAGGTAGATGAGAAATTCAAGCATCAAGAAGAGAACATTCTAACAATAACTCAGGAAGGTCTGGAGGCTGCTATAAGAAGAGTGTCGTGTGATCCTGGTTTAAATCCTGAGAAGAAGTCATATATCATCCAGAACCTGATTATGAGGTTTGTATTAAATATTTTTCTTCCCCCTTTTTTCCATTTTCCTTTTCCCCCAAAAAGGGAGTTTATGGTGCCTTTGTAGATTGAACATACAGTCTAACAACAGTTTAATCATATATTCATATGCATACATATTGGTGTTTTTATGTTAATGTGATGATGTTGGGGGTGGAGGGAGTAAATCTCAATTTGAAGTTGCAGCATTGCCAATCCTAAAATCAGTAAGCTTCCATTAAGCTAAGCTGCAGCAGTTCGTTTGTGAAATTTATCATAAAAAGAGCCACTTCAATATGCATCCCTTTACCAATAAAAATAATCATTCAAGCGGGCTTAATTTTTCAACCCTTGGTTGGTCCCAATGACAGTGGGCTTCCTCCTTTCAATATGTATATACCGTGTGGCAATGAATTGTTGGTAGATTGTCTTAGGCTAGGTTGCTTGCATTTCCTCTACTTTTTGCGCTTTTCTTTATGTTTACTGAATACTAAATTTTTGTATGCAAAGTTTGACAGAAGCTTCCTTCATGTTTCAGCCGTTGGATTGTCAGAAAGCAGAAGTCTCATCCACAAGCTCTCCCAAGTACTAGGGAAGAAGTTACTGGTCAATCTCCATCTTATCGAGACACACTTGGAGAGACTTTTGGTTGCGAACACTACAAAAGGAACTGTAAGCTGTTTGCTGCTTGTTGCAACCAGTTATTTACATGCAGATACTGCCATGATGATGTGGCCGACCATTCAATGGATAGGTAGCATAATTTGTTGTTTTTGAACCCCATGTGGTATCTTCTTGCTTTTTATTTTATTTTATTTATCATTTTCACATCCTGAGCTGTTTGGAAAACAAATATGCAGAAAATCTACAACCAAGATGATGTGTATGAAATGCTTGAAAATTCAACCCATCGGTCCAACATGTTCAAACATCTCCTGTAATGGTTTATCCATGGCAAGATATTTCTGCAGAATCTGCAAGTTATTTGATGATGAAAGGTATTGTAACCAACCACACCGACCTTTTGTATGTTCTTTCTTTGACTGAAATTACATGGTGATATGTCTAAACATGGGTGTTTTTCTGCACATTAGAATACCATGGCTAACTGGTTTCTCATCCCCAATTATGTTTCCTATAGTATCAGCTTATGACCTTTGGGAAAGTTGTGATTGTGGAACCCCGTCGATGATATCCCATGGTTGTCATGTCATTGAACAATAATGCCATTGACGTTTGTCCATGGGGTCAGACTATATTACTACTCATAAACACTAGAAACTCAAAAAGGTTTGTATGCTAGGCTCATAAATATATAACTTAGTTGTAGGTAGTAGATAATTTCATTGTCATGATGAAGATGCTTTTGAATAATTTAGTGTTATAGATCATCAATTCAAGCTTTATGATAATCTAAATTTACAGAACAACTTTGAATAATTTTAGGGAAATAGTAGATGGATTTGAACCTGGAAATTCAATAATTCTTTTAAGAAGTAACAACCGAATGATGATTCATTGATATAAAGGGAAGACCCGCTATACATCCTCTTCCTATTTACTCCACATCTGGCCAAATTATCTGCAGTAGAGTTCAAATCCCTTGAAAGCGATCTTAATACAGTCATGAAAAAAGCCAGCAGATAACAAATCTCATTCAGCTTATTCAGTGACCATCATAATGATACAAAGAACCATAAAAAATCTCTTGATTTTATCATCCATTAACTGCTTCAATTTCATTTTTTTTTCTTGGTGCTTGTTATACATATGAATTTATATTTCTTCTTTTCTGGTGCTGGTGGAGTATATTTGTTTCCTCTAAATTCTGAAATTGAGGCTGTCAACAGGGAAATTTACCACTGCCCTTACTGCAATCTATGTCGAGTTGGGAAAGGATTGGGTATTGATTATTTTCATTGTATGAATTGCAATGCATGTATGTCAAAATCCCTCGCAGTGCATATATGCAGAGAGAAATGCTTTGAATCAAATTGTCCAATTTGCAATGAGTACATCTTCACATCCAGTTCTCCAGTGAAGGCTCTTCCCTGTGGGCATTTGATGCATTCAACTTGTTTCCAGGTATTTGTCTAATGTTTCTTTACTGGGATATTTTTTTGCATAGGAGATTTGCAAAAGTAAAGATTACTTACTGGATCACCTCTTTGTTTCTTTTAGGACTACACCCGTACTCACTATATCTGCCCCATCTGTAGCAAATCCCTGGGGGACATGCAGGTCAGTTATTATTGGATATGTTCAACAAGTTTTTTTTTTTAATTATATAGTTGCATGAAAAACTATTTTTAATTAAATGAAAGATGGTTGGTCATATAAATCATTGACATAGTGTTCGTATTACAAGTTTTAAATGGTTTAGTCATATCTTTGTTATTGTTCATTTTCTTAGGGAATGTTGAGATAGAAATGATGTTGATCTTTATGTCATTTTGTTGTTGGCAAATACTTCATCCACTGCATACATTTTAAAGACTCAATTTGTATCCATTGTTGTCAGACCCAAATCAGACCAGATGGCCAAACCGTCTGGATCATGACTCAGTAGCATTTCTGCATTTTGGAAAAGTTCAGTTCTTAAATTAAAAAAAAAAAAAACTGTCTATACTGCTCTTGACCTGGGCAGTTCTCTGAAAACCGGACGATTTTTATTGTGCTCTCCTATTTTTAAGGAACTGCTCAAGTCAACATTTTAGGATTGGTTATAAAAGTGATGTTTTGAAGTTTTTAACCTCAATGTTCTATTTACAAGATACAAACTACTAGACCATAAACCCATTTGTTTATAAAGCTGTTTATTGAACTCATATAACCTCTCTGAAGACCCCAGATCAATGTTGCATGGATCCATGGACACAGACATGGGAGTTAGAACCCAACATGTGCCCAAGAGTTTGACACAACAAGATAAGAAAACATGGATTTGTGGATGTCTACTGAAAAGTATATATTATTAAATAGTTATTTTTTTTGAATCTTAATATTTTATACCTACAAAAAATGTTGCTTTGGCTCAGTTTGGAAAGAGTACAAATGCAAATATGTAAAGTACAAATACATGCAAAATAACATAAAATACAAAGTTTTGCACTTAACATATTTGTATTTGAACTCCTTCCAAACTGAGCCTTTGTTTCTAAGTAACATTTGATATGAAAATGTCATTCTCTTGTTATGTGAAATGAATTAGGACATAAAAGGAAATGTTATTACAAGTGTCCTCAAGAATCCAGGATTGTTGGACTCTGGTGCGTGTTTGACATGGACACGTCATCCATTTACGAGAGTCCATGCAATGTTGCCCCAGCTATTTGGAACCAACATTATAAAACACAGTTAGAATGATTAAAACAGGCCCATACGCATGGAAATAAAGACCATAACCAATAAGCTACATCTTATAGACATATCAATGTTCTGATATATTATTAGTTATATATTTAAGCAGGATTCCACAAGTCACTGGGTTGACAACCCAACAATCAGGCTGTCTATAAGATGTAGTTCATTGGTTATGACCTTGACATGTCTCTCTATAAGATGTTAGTGTTATCTATATAAATATATTAAGTTGAAATGTGTATGTAAGAAGGCCTTAGGGTGAGGGAAATGGAATCTAATAGTATTTTTTGCCTTATTTTCATAGAAATTACAATAATGCCACTCTCTACCAACTCTCTCTCTTTGCTTTTTTTTTCTTTCAAATTACAAGAATGCCATTCTTGCCAATTCTCTTTTTCTTACAAATTACAAGAATGTCATTTCTCTCTCTCTCTCTCTCTCTTTTGCGATCTCTCTCTCCCCTTATAAATTACAAGAATGCCACTCTCTCTCCAACTGAGGGAGACCTCAACTTGGCATCTCGGCTGCTACGAGACCTACAATCAAAGGTAGTTGAGCTTGAACTTCTGAGCTCAAGCTCAAGTCTCTAATTCGAATTGACCTTGAGCTAGACGACACCTCGACCACTAAGGGAGACCTCGACTCGACACCTCGGTCACTGAGGGAGATCTCGGCTCAGCACCTCGACAACTGAAGGAGACCTCAGCTCGACACCTTGTCAACTAAGGAAGACCTTATCTCGACACTTCAGTAGTTGAGGGAGATCTCGGTTTGGCACCTCGGCAATTGAGGGAGACCTCGGCTGCTTGAGAGACCTGCAATCAAAGGTAGCCGAACTTGAACTTTCGAGCTTTTGACTCGAACCGAGCTTGAGCTCGAGCTCAAGCCTCTTCAAGCCTGATAGTTTATGAACGAGCCCCTACAACGCAGGGCCCCCTTCGATAGTGATATATTAACTACATAAGCTTATTTTGGAAGGGATAAACGGGACACAACACTAACATACATGAAATGATAAAGGTTTAAAAAATTTACCATCTGTTCTGCTAGACTTTCTACCTAGCTATTTGTGATGATGCCTATTAATGAATTCACCAATATAAGGTCTAGACTCTAGATCCATGGTATTATCCCAAATTAGAGATAGCAATTTGGCCCATCCCATGGGGCCCTGCCCCACCCTGGGTGGGACAGGTGTTTTGACCACTGATTGGGGTTTGGGAAAACCCAAAACTTTGGGGATTGGGGATGGTATTTGTCCACCCCGCCCGACCCCAACACTAAACCAGCCCTGACTCTATCATATACCACTATATATATATATATGTAAATATATGTTAATATATGCTATATTATATTATATAATATAAAATAGTTCTAGGTTGGTTTCAAAAAAATAAAAAAAAAATAAATTTGTAAGCATACAAGTATGAATGACCGGGGCGGGGCAGGGAAAATTTGGGTATCCCCATTCCCTGTGGGGACGAGGATGGGGTTAGGAACGTGGCAGGTTTGGGTGGGGCATTTAAGTTTGGGGTTGGGAACAGGGCAGGCAAAACCCGGTCCCACCTCACCCTGCCCCGTTTCCATTTCTATTCCAACACAGCCACTATATTCAAGGGTTTATTTGTTCATCACGTAAATCTGTTGGTGAAGGCAATCAAAAGGCTTCAGTTTGATGATCACCAGACGTCAAACAGACAGCACCATCACACTTTTCCTGGAGATATTCTCCACTACTACAGTACTTGTCCATTTATTTTTTTAAAGCTCCTAGATCTAGATCTATTTATTGAATACAAAGCACCCTCCCCCCTGTAGAATTGGTGATGAACAAAAACATTACAGACTAAGGGATGCTTAAGGAAATTTGGGTTGAGTTTCAAGGGATGTTTAAATTCAGTGTGAACCACATTTACTGAATTCAGTATGCACCGATATATCATTGAAATATGTTTGAGCTCCAAAATCATAGAATTGGCTCTTACATATAAGATACAGAATCTAGGAGTGCAGAGAAACCCAGCTGATTCTTATCCAGAATCTAGGGTAATATCTTCTGTTAAATGCAGGAACACCCTTGCCTGCTCTTACAATGATTCACGATGCATGTTGAAACATTTTAAATCTGATTATCAGAAACGCGTTTTGTAATTACAATCTTAATTCTAAACATAGTTATTATCTGATTTCTGTGAGGGGGAGGTCACAGTTTTCTTCTTAGACAAATTAAATGATGGTGTGGCAGGTTTATTTTGGCATGCTGGATGCTTTATTGGCTGAGGAGAAAATCCCAGAGGAGTATTCTGCCCAGACTCAGGTTATTCTCTTTTATGTCCTATCCTCATGTATCTGCCACTTTTCTTGTTTAGTATTGCCTGGAGTGTTCTTGTGACATGTGCTGTTGCAGGTCATACTTTGTAATGACTGTGAGAAGAGAGGTGTTGCTCCATTCCACTGGCTTTATCACAAGTGCTCTCATTGTGGTTCATACAATACCAGGCTTCTTTGACAGTGGGCAAATGGAAGTGTAAATAAATTCTTTATTCAAGATGCTTGATAAATTTGCAAGACTACATTTCTGACTTCGGATTGAGTAAAATGACTGTCTCCATTCAATTCCTGAAAAACAATATAATAGTGGTGTTGGAGATTAGAGGAAACTGATTGCTTGTATCAAAATAATGTAAATTTTTGGTAAACCGTGTAATGCTACATCGTTCCGTTATCTTTATTCCTGTAACTTATTTAGAATTTTTCCACTATCAAGGAAAGTTGGAGAGGTCTTGAACTCTCTCAGAGTTGATCTACAATAAATTTTAAAAATTTTGACCTTTTTTTTTAATTTTAGAAATCTATAATTTTAAACTAAATCCTTTCATTAACTAGCCCATTCATTGGTTTTAGAGACCTCTTAGATTTTACCAAAGGAGGGAGACTGTTTTGCGTAAAATCAATGGTAGATTGGCTTTTGCTTAAAGAAGGCTCCAAAGAAATTTCTTTCAACCCTGTAAATCATATTTAGGGCTGGCAAGGTAGAAAGCCAAAGGTAGCAACCGTAGCATGAAACAGTCAATCTCCATTTCTGAACTCATATTTTTATCTCATTTTAAAACAAAAAATAAAATTTAATGAAGGGGACTTGCATTAGAACCTTGAAGCAGAGCTGACCTCAAATATACAATGACTATCCAATGCCATGGATTTGCATTAGGACCAGTTCTATTTTTAGTTTGCTTTGGAATTGTGTTTCTGCGTTTCTCTCTCCCTCAACAAGTGTTGCTTCTCTATTTAATGAAAATACAGGGTAGCCACCCAGCACTCTTTCACCTCAAAATGTTTAGGGCTTAAAAGAAACCTTGCTGGATGTTTTGTGAATTTAGAGGTCAAAAGCTGGCCTATCCCCTCCCATCCCACCTAAAAAAAGAATAAATAAATAAATTAGAAAAGAAAAAAAAAACTAAAGAAAACCAATCCTGTTGAAAGATAATTTGGGAATACGTTCTCTTGTATTTGTTTTGGGGGAGGTCATACTGTTGTCTGAACATACTGAGGCACTGGGTATAATGAATGCATGTATGACATTAGATTTATGATGGCAATCAGTATTTGGTAGTTGACAAACATGAATAAACTTACCTAAGATAACTCATGGGATTGAAGATGAAATTAATAAGCTTGGGAATCTCCTCACAGGAGCAAAGCAGAAGAAATTATAATTTATTTTACTAAGAAGATTGATTCAAATTGTCATATTTCCAGTGGTTAATGAAGACATGTATGGGTCATTTTAAAAGCATATAAGATAAGATTTTAATGCCTTGAGGTAAGGATTATCCTTGAAGCTCATGCCAGAAGTACATGGCACATCCAATTTCCAAGTATCGATATGTATCAAATGTGCATCATATAATGCATAGTGGTTTTTGAACCCATTTATATGCTAAATACTGAGAGTTAGGATACAAGGCTATTTTTGAAGGTTAATAATACTCTTCCTGGAGATATCCTGACTCAATTCTTTTAAACTTAAATACTTTTTATACTCTTCCTGAACCTTGAGCACATCATTCTTTATTATTTCACATTTTGAGCCTTTTAATAGTATTTATTAACTGGGTTTTGAGAATTATATCCCTTTCTCCCCCTAAGATTATATCATTGTTCATTCATTTATGTGTTCCTAATTTCCTATATATGAAAAATATGCTCCTGGCACCTCCCCTAATACCTTTGCTTTTTAAATATTGATCTGCACCATAGCCATGATCATATCGAATCACTAGGAAAAACATCCAACAGGACCTGAAAAACATCCATGTCTATTATTTGCAAATGAAGATATGAATGATTGGTAAAGCAAATTATCAAAATTGTGGAATTAGGTCTATTATACTGATCTAGAAGGAACAAAGAAAAAAAAAACAGTGTTAAAATTGGACCAACTCTGACACTCTTCTCTCTCGCTCTTTTATCAGTTGACACTGGTCAGACTGAAGCATGCAGCGGCACTCTTGAGTTCGTTCTCTGAAACATGCTCAATTGATTGTGTCGTATCCTTCAATGAAGAATCTGAGCTGCTGATGAAGTGTAATATAAATTAGAAATTTGAAAAATAATTAACAGGAAAGAACTATTAGCATCATGTTGAGAACTATTTATTTAATCCAAGATGGATGCACAAAAGTTAACCACATCCATCTCTGGTTCATAGAAAATTTTGTAGTGGGACCAACAATTCAAATCTTTACTGCCCGGCCCACCACATTCGATCCTGAATTGAATGTGGTATTCAAGTTCATGGGCGATTACTGGATTCATATTTGATGTTTGATATTTGATTGAATATAGAAATAATATGTACCTTGAATCGTATGCCTCTTTGGAATCTATATAAGATTGTCTGTCATCAATCGTGTCAAAGAAAGGAGGAATCTCATCATAGTCCTGGGGGGCTTCGGTTGCTTCTTGGTGGATAGGAATCTGGTGTGAGACAAGCAATTGAGACTGTAACGCCATGGGATTATTGTTGTTGTTATTGTTATTATTGTAAGGATGTTGAACCCACAAAGGATTCACAATATTGTCCTTGGGATCAATATAGACAGGTGTGTTATAAGCAGCATTGCCGCCATTAGAGAAAGAATGATGGGGTGCAAGAGAAATTCCGGTGGCCACAGAATTGTAAGGCTGATGGGGGTGGTGTTGGAAAAGTGGAAGAGCATTGTTGGGAGAGGGCATTCCTAGTTGTAACTGGGAAGAAGGAGAATGATGGGGAGGGGAAGAGGCTGCAATCTGATGGTGGTGTTGTCTGTAAATGGCGAGCTGTGCGTTGACAGCGCCCAGCTCCTGCTCAGCTTGTTGTATCTGGTGCTGGAGGTGGCAAATGATTCCACAGCAACCATGAACGGGGAATCTGTCGCGGATGTTGGCTTGATAGATGATGGATCTCATGGCCTCCATCTTCTGACTGGTATTGAGCTGCTTGAGAATTTTCAAAATGTTGCTGACGCCGAAGAGGCGGTGGGCGTTCTGGAACATCTTGGGTTGATCAGGAGGGAAGTAAGGGGCGAGAGGACAATCTTGGGAACACTTGCGACGTTGGTATTTGCAAGCAGCACAGGCTTGGCTTGTGCCACCCTTTACGGTCATCTTCTGTTTGAGAACCACCAATGTTGGGTTGGGTTGAGTTTTGGACAATCAATCTGGGGTGTTGAAAGTTGAAACAAAGATGGACCAGAAGAAGAAGACGGAGACGGAGACGGAGATGGTATGAATGATGGAAGAGAAATTTTGCAGAGACGAGGAGGAGGAGGGTTGTTGCAAATGGAAACGGCGGCATTGTTGTGAACAGGTGAGATTGTTGCGGATTTTGCTGGAGGAGGAAGGAACGACTTAGTAAAAGTAAAAATTGACAAACCGACTTTCTTGGGTGGTTTTTAAATTTCTTTGACCGTTGCGGGGACAAGTGTTCGGTTTGGGTCCTCCTCGACTCCGGATTTTAAGCAACCCTATCCCTATCTAATCCTTCTCTTCTCTTAATACCTATTTTTTATTGCATGGGTAGGCACAACCCATTACCCGGGTTTTCCTTGGATCGGATCATTCGTGATACGGTAGGCTTCATTGGTCATGGTATCCTTTTGATCGTCAGATTGGAATATATTCTTGATAATACAATAAAATGGTTTCCAATTTGATGCCTGCCCCAAAGCAGAGTACCAATGACTCAATCTAACACCAGATACGGGCTTGCGGGCACTCTCCACCACCCGATGTTGAATTTCTGCACGTAGGCTAGGGCATATATGGTAATTCAAGAAATAGAGATTACTTTAACAAGTTTCCCCAATTTGTGCACGTAGTCAACGAGACCAAAATCCCATTTAACCAACTTTCCCGTTCTCAAAATCCAAAACCCGAACAGCCCTGGGAAAGCCTCAAAGATCTTCCCAACTGCATCAACCCATACAGGGGACCCTCACTCTCCTACCAAGTTTGTGGTTGACATATTCTAATTCTCCTAATATCGACACCCGCCTCTGCTATCCATTTCCGGCGGCATACTAGAAACTAGAAACAATAAATGACCCATCCTTCTTGGAGCCACTATGATTTTTCCCCACTCGTCAGCAACTTCCACTTGCAGCTACAATTGGAACACATTTGGCTGTGCTTGGTTGCAATGCAAATAAATTTGCACTGATGCAAAATTATGACAATGCAAATGGTTCGAGTGTAAATTCTTTCAAATTTTTAACTTAAAACTTTTTTGGTTGCAGTACAAAATAAAGTAAATAAAAGGCATGAAGCAGAATAAAGTGAAATCTAATATAAAATTAAACATTTGCACTCCCATGTATTTGTACTACTGCAAAACACAGTTTTCGGCAGCATCATGTCAACCAAAAATAGAGAGAGACATTCACAGATAGCTTAGCTTACTGGTTACTCTGAAAAAAATGTGACCTAGGAAGATTTTAACCAAAGGTCAAACTCAAACGAATTCCAAACCCCACTGTAGTTCTGTCATATATATCAACTTTTACGCGTAAAAAAAAAGGCAAAATCCAGAACAAAACTGTATGTGATAGTTCTAGCAAAATCCAGAACTACATGTATTGTTTCTACATACAAAAATGTGATCTCTTGTTTTTTTTCTTTTCCCTCCAGAGCTTCTATAGCTAGGTGGGTGATGATTTCCATTCTATTTCCAATAGTTTCAGAGCTAAAATCTTCTTTTAATGGACAAGGGCCCCTTCGCAAAAGGTTTCATAATTGGGTCAAATATGAAGAAGCTTGCTGTCTTAACCCCAAAATCAAAAACAGACAATAAGAAAAACAAGTTTTTCTAGCTGAAGGCTGAACTAGTCCAAGAGTAGTTAGTTCTCAGCCAGAAGTGAAAACAGTATTGGCTGACCTTCTGTTTTTCTTGTAGGAGGCATCAAAAATGAATTTATACTTATATAGTGTCTATTTCAGTAAATTTACCAAATATATATATCTATATCTATATACCAAAACTAGAGTCAAATCAATCTCCATTGCCCCTCGTGAGCGCGGGAACCAATTCAACTGTTGGATCAATCATCATGACTTGGAAGCATCGGGAGCGACATTCGGAGCACGATGTCCACGTGTACGGTTCCGGATGCGCTTCAATTCGGCAACTATTTCCTTTGCGTCCGGACGGTCGTCCTTATCGGCGGCAACACATCGGAACGCCAGTTCCGCCACTGCATTCACGGTGCTCGTTACTTCCCCTTCCACCATCAGAACCGGGTCCACCACCTGCTGCAGCGTACCCACCTGAATCTTCGATACCACCATATCCGCCAGCGCCACTTCCCGCTTATCCCTGCTATGATCAACCGCCTTCATCCCTGATATCAACTCGAACAAAACCACCCCAAAACTGTACACATCGCTCTTCTCCGTTAGTCGGAACGACCTGTGATAGTCCGGGTCCAGGTACCCGGGCGTACCTTGAGGTCCCGTCCACACGTACCCAGACGACGACGACGAAGAAGACGACGAAGATGACTCCGGGAAGACTAAAAGCCTCGAAAGCCCAAAATCCCCCACCTTGACCTTCATTTCTTTGTCGACGAAGATGTTCGATGAAGTTATATCTCTATGAACGATCGCCGGTCTCACCGTCAAGTGGAGGTACTCGAGCGCCAATGCCGTCTGCAGAGCTATATCGACTCTTACCTGCCACGTCAAGGACCCTTTTCTGTGTAAGCTCTTTGACCCATGGAGATGATCGGCCAGGGTTCCGTTAGGCACGTAGTCGTAGACGAGGAGGAGCCCCCTCGGATCGCTGCAATATCCGTAAAGCTTAACGAGGTTGGGGTGATCGATCGAAGAAAGTATCAGTATCTCATTGCAGAAAGACTTCGTTGTGGCCGCTCGGCCGGCCGCGGCCGCCGCCGCATGCTGTCTATGGAGCTTCTTCACTGCTACAACCCGCCCATCACAGAGCTGCCCGAGATAGACAGACCCGAACCCACCATCACCAATCTTGTTTCTTGGGTCGAATCGATTCGTCGATGACTCGAGCTCTTCGTAACTGAACGCCGGCGGGAGGAGATTAGCTGATCTGTGCCGGTGGAGGAACAGAGTAGTTGGGTTCTCTTCGTTGGCATATGATTTCAGCCCCTTGTAACGAAAGATCAGTGTGGCGAGTGCGACGACAACCGACAGGCACGTAAAGATGAAAAGAGTGCACAAGAGAGCCATCCGATTGGGACTATCACCACGAACCCTCGGCGACGAAATTCGGGAGCGGGAGGAAAAGCAGCGAAATGGCTTTCGAGTGTCGGAAGTGTTGAACCCACATACGCCGTCCTCGGACTGACAGTCTTTGCAGCGTGAGAAATACGTATCGTTGCTTTCATCCCACTGGACCTGAATTCCCAGATTCAGGAACGTATGCAAGTAATCCAAGACATCTTGCTGGCATCCCTGTTCAGACGAACGATGCTTGGAAGAGCAGCCTTTTAAAAGCTGAACCGGGCTCTTTAGTAGCTTGCAATCCCAGGGACAACGACTGCAATTTGGGAGGCTAGAAATGTTGCACTGCCTGAGAACAGAGAGCCGAGCACACGGAGCATCGGAGAACCGAAATGGGGAACCCGAGAGATCGATTGCTCGATCGGGAAGGGAAGCAGAGGGGCAGGATCGATGAGTTGGGTCGGAGACATAACTCTGAGGAGAGAGGACGAGGGTGCTGGAGTTGGGGTCGTGACGAAGGAGAACGAAGGAGAAGTTGTTGATGGAGATAAAGGAGCGGTTGGAAGAGCACAGGATCTGGAACGAGGGGTGACCGCAACCGGGAGACGAGGAGAAAGGGAACGAAGGCGGAGAGGTGAATGGAGGGCATGAAGTTATATTCGTCCTTGTTGGGGAACATGTATGAGCCACCGTTAGATCGACGGCGAGGAGTCGTAAAATGACGAATAGGAGGGTGACCGACAGTAGTGGCGGCGGCGGAGGAGGAGGAGGCATGGAGGAGGGTCTAGTTGATAAATGTTGTCATCAATGGAGACGACTGGAGAGAACTCCGATCAGAGATGAGAGACAGAGAAAGTGGGGAGGAAAAGCAACTGAGGAGAGAAAAGAGAATGAGAGCAGTGTGCAGCGTGCAGCGTGCAGTGAGTGAGAAGAGGAGTCTCGTGGTTAGTAAGGTGAGGTCACGTGAAGTGGGTAAATGAAGACAAAAGAGTTAGCAATTACGTTTGCAGCAAAAGACCAAAGCGTTGAAAGTAAAAACCTTTTTTCTACTTTTTACAGACTGAAGTTCTGTAGTTTTAAGGGAAGGCGATGGGTTTGGTCGGACCGGCGGTCCGGCGGAGGGGGCTCGCTTTCGGATCACATTTAACTTGGGCGTGAAGTTCGAACTGGGCAAGGGCCCTTTGTATTAAGTGGATTGAGCCCCACGCCCACGCCCTAGAGAGTAGAGGCTAGTGTCCTACGACCACTCCGCTCTGCATACTATTTGTACGTACTCAGTACTCTTTTTCTTTCTTTCTGTCTTTTTTCTCTGACAGGGTGTCCTTCCTATCCCAAAATCACATCGCACGACCTCCCCATGAATTCAATCTTGTTTCAATCAACTCAACACCTGCGTCTGGAGTTTTTAGGGTTTAAATTTGGGTTCACATGAGTCTGTACTCTCTACTCTCTTCTCTGTAGTCTGTAGGTAGGGTTCAACGATCCGATGGGCGCCACCTGGACCCACTAATGATTCCTCATCAATGACCCAGATGATGAGAAGGAAGTAGATGATCAAACTTCCTTCCCTTTTCTTTTCTTTTTTTTTAATTTTTAAAATAAAATTGATTAAAAAACCGCCCTCGTTGTCATTGATAGGGGCTTTATTATTATTATATTATGTACTATTTCCAAGGCTTGATAGAGTCGTTGGGCCGGTGCAAAGTTTTGAATTTCCAAAGACAAATTGGCACATGTAGGGCACAAAAACTTGGAAAACAGTGTCCTTGGGTCTGTGCTTTAAGCAAATGGATGATAGAATATCGTTAATCTATTCTACCTTTAAATAAATAAAATATTTAATGAGGAGGAAACATGGAAGGAGAAGAAGAAATTTTTTACATTTTTCGAGACAATTCTCGCTTTGAAGGCAAGCTAGAGACCAGCGTCTCAAATTTCAGAGGGCTCAGGCTAGCGAGCACATGCTTCCAGTTGACCTGGAATGAACGATTAAAAGTCTAACGTTGTTGGATGCAATGCAGTAAATTGGTTGTCCAATTTTTTTTATTAATTTTATCATTTGTGTTTGGTTGTTGAGATCAATTATCTTATCAAATCTTTTTTATTGAGTATGAATGCTAAAAAACATTTGCCACAGATGATAACATACATTTGTTGTAAATCTAACGTAGGGTTTTAGATTTGAGACACCAATATACATTCATCGAAGACAACTACCGGTTGGTTCAGCAGATCTAACACATATCTAATATAGGGTTTTAGATCTGAGACGACTGCTTCAACAGATCTAGCACATGGTTTTAGATCGGAGATAGGGTTGTGACTGTTGGAAGGTCGGAGTTCAGAGATGATGACGAAGACGATGGGGTAGTGACTGTTGGAACTTGGAAGCCCTCAGTTAAAATAATGGAGACATGCCTCGACAATATTTTTGCACAAAGTTTTTCGGTATTTTCGTTTTTCAATGGGGTCACACCTATTTGGTAAGACCCCAAGTCCCTAAATTTGTAATATGGTTTCTTGTGGCATCTCACTATTTCACTCAAAACAAATGTAAGAAATGAAGCATGTAAAGGGAGTATTCTTCTTTTATCGTCCCAATCGTGGCAATCAAACAGACTGTTAGGGTTCTTCTAGCCTTCAAAGTCTCTCAAACGCACCCATGTTTGGAGGCACGAATGGAGAGAGAATATAAAGGTCATGTTCATTATTTATCCGGGTAAGTGATACTCAGGAAATGTTTTCCTGATTTTTATGTAAATCTTAAAAAAAAAAAAAAAGAATATGGATTTATTAATCAATGGGATTTACAATCTTATAATTGACCAACTTTCCCTTTTTCAAAATCCAAAAAATTAAAGCCCCTAAAGCCATGTTTGGAAACATTGCAAATAAGTATGAATGCAAATATGTACAGTWTAAAACTGTCCATATAAATTATAAAGTTGGATTAATTTTACATTCACAAATTTATCTTTTAATCGAATAGGCTTTTAGTTATAATAGATGCAAACACGAATTCCAATAAAACATATACCTTTTTTTTTATCAAAAGCTCACTTTCTTTTTTATTGATGTACTTTTACCTATATATCAGCCTAAAGACTAAAATAGCAAATAATGCTCAAAAGGGAAACAAGATATAATTAGAAGTACACAAAGTTAGATACTTGGAATTGGAAGTTTTCAATTGAAATGAATGAGCAAATGGATTATCTTTGTTTTTGTATTCGGATAACGCTATTATGCAGGTAAAGGATTCCTGGGCAAGAGTTATATCACTATATGGGCAAATTGCAGTGAGGAAAAAGTAGGACTCTCTCTCTCTCTCTCTCGTTTGAATAAACGTCTCAAAAGAAAACGATTTCTTGCACAAAAGTGATCCCTCTTCAGTCCAGTGTTTCTCTTTCAACCGTTACATCGGGATCAGGTACAGAACAAATACACACACTAATCAAATATCAGCGATGTAGCCAATAATGCGGTGCCCAACTTCTAATATTTTAGCGTGAGGACAAATGTGTGACTGTGGTATCAGTAGTTCCACTCCAACTCCAACTGTCTTAACCCTACTAAAGCTAAAAAGAACAGAGCATCTCTACGCAAACTCAGCACAGATCCCCAAGTAATTGCAATATACATTGTTGTAGACATAACAACCAGATACTTAATAGAAGAAAATAAAATATAGGAAGGGTCAACATTTTTGAACAAAAAGAAAAAGATCAACAACAATCAACTATTAACTTTTTGAACAAAAGCAACTTCATGTCTGTTCTGAGTAGTCAGCAGGAGCAGTTTTTTGCAAGACAAATCGTCAAATCCTGAGTTTCTCTCAAGTAAACAATGGTTCTGTAGACCTGGCTCACAAATCATTCCCACTACTCTCATCTGATTCCCAGGCTAATCAGCAGACTTGGGTTAGGCAAACCTATTTTGATGATAATAATAATAAGATTATAGCTGAAGTGCTGAACCCCAATAAAAAGCATAAGCCACAGACCTACTGAAGAAAAATGAATAAAACTAAACTAAAGAGGCAGAGGATGACAGTTGTGCTGTAACCTTAAAATCACTCAGCCAATCCTCTTCATAGCATAATGAAGAATGCGTAGAACCACCACTGGAACCTGATTTAAGATACTGAGATATATATCAGTATATCACCTCGTTCAGCTGCGTCTCGAGCAGGCATTCTCTCATACAAGTGATGAGATCAGACTCACATTCAATATGTGGAATTCCCTGTCTCAGGCATGGCAGCTAGGAGTCTAGAATTCCTCGACTCCCTTCCACAAGTCACAACCCAACAACTGGTGTCAAGGTTCCATAATTGTACTTCCATTCCTCTGACAACCAAACTAGTATAATAATAATAATGGTATTGGCTCTTATGGCTGTATTGCTTTTAATACAAATAATGCTATCTTTCTTTTTGCTGCAAGGAAAAGTGTCTAATTCGATCTGGGGCTGTTGATGCTGAACCTTTTGCTTTTAAAGGGCGCTTCAGCCTTCAGTTAGTGGAAATGGGCTTTACTTCTGTTGCTGTTTATTCTGTTTTCTTGCTAGCTATCTCTACTCTTGATGGACGATCCTCTTCTCTTCCTTGGTGTTGTTTACTTTTGTGGGATGAAGTGGGGTACTATTTCTTATTTTCTTCCATTTTGTGAATAGAATTTGTAATGGGTTAGTGCATAGTTTGGCCTCTAAGGCTAAATCTTTCGATGAGGAGAAATTTGGGTCATTTCCTCCCTCTCTTTCGGGTTTATCAGTTTGTAGTTCTTTTTGTTTTTCGGTTTAAAGCATCCGTAGCTATTTGGTACTCTCAAGTCGAAACTCAGATGAATGCATAAAGGACCAAGAATGTAAGAATGCGAAATAAAGCAGTAGATTAATTAGGCATCGGTGTCGAGCAATGAAATGCCTTGACCCCTGCATATCAGAATGCAGCAACATAAGGTCCGGTGTTCAGCTCTTTGACTGATGATCAACAGGGTTCTTTCCTGGTTATTAGTATTCCCAACCTCTACCAAAATAAGACCCACCAATCTACACATCCTACAGTCCAAAGTTGAAACTGCATGAATCTCGGCAATTACATCTGTTGATAAAGAAGACAAATGGCTTTCTTGCCAGTCTGCTACCAGTACTCAATTCAAGCTCACAAATCACTATTCAGTTTTTTTTTTTTTTCTGAATTTGTACTTGAAGGTTGATCATCACCCCATACAGAGAGCCTCTTTCTTAATAACAGGTCGAACAGAATACGGACTCAATTTCTCCTTCCAGTTTCATTCAATGTGTTAAGCCGATCGACTACAAATTTTCAATTTAACCCATATTCAAGGAAAATACTAGAATGGGAAGGGTAAGCAGAACACACGCTACAAAATATTGCAACAATATTTCATTGGTTTGTGATGGTTTGGATTGATGAGGTCGGCTGCCACGTCATGTAGGTCACCATCTGGGACCTTGGTCAGGTCGGTGAAGTGTTCTGTAGGAGGTCAGCCCTCCAGCCGAGGTCCTTGGTTTGTTCCTGTGAGGTCTCCGGTCTGCTCCACTAAGGTGCGTACGCCGTGTCCTCATCAGTCCTATCTGAGGTGATGCTGGGCACTCGCTCTCTTAGTGTGCGAGGTGCATTTGAGGTGGATCCGAGGTGTCTAAGGTTGCTCCGAGGTGAATCTGATGTGTCTAAGGTGCGTCCCAGGTGATTCAGACTGACATGGTAAAGATAAGTCACTATCAACATGACACCAAGGTGTTATGCAACAGATTAGAAGTGCCACAAAGTACAACATTATTGAAGGGCCAATTGCCCCTCATCATTTTGTATACCAAATTACTATAAAAATATTACATTACAAAAAAAAAAGAATAAAAGAATAAATTCTCCTAAATTATCTATAATTCCTATTTATCCTCTCCCCCATTTTTACCAAAAGAAAGTTTGAATTAAAAAAATTCAAAATTATTTAAATATTCTAACAAAATTATATAATAACTTTGTACTAACAATATAAATTATGATTTTTTGGATTATTCAATTTAAATGTTATTCAATGTTTCAAACAATAAAAATATAAAATAAAAAAAAATAAAACATTATTTAAATATTTCAGTAACTAAATATCTTAAGTAACAAAATAMTAAAAATAACTAAATAATTATATAACAAAATATTTAATATTATGTAATAATTTTAAAATAAATAAAATTCAAATAACTAAAATTTTAAATTATTTTATATCTTTTTAAATATTTAAATAACTGATTAGTTTAAATAATGAAATATTTAACATAACTAGATTTTGAATAGTTAAAATAACGAAATTATGTAATAAATTAAAAAAAAATCTTAAAAGTAGAAAATTAATTATAACATAATATCCAACTTAACAATAATTTTAAATTTACAAAATTAATAGCAAAATTATGTAATAATAGTATAAATCATAATTTTATGGATTATTAAATTCAATAAATAATTAATATTTCAAAATTTAA